TTTTATAAGACATTCAGAACAGAGTTATATTCTCACCACAAGTAGAACAAATGGGGTATTTTAGTTTAATTCCATTCCTCTACGCAACAACATTAAAGACAAGCGTTGTGTCATCCTGATAAAATCAGGAAACAAGCTTCTTTCACAACATTCAACATGAAAGCAGAAACTTCATGCATCCAGGGGCGCAGATAGGATTTCCAAACTGGGGGGGACAAAATTCCAATGTACCCTCCCCCAAACACATACACACACACACACACACACACACACGCACACGCACACACACACACACACACACACACACACACACACACACACACACACACACGCACACGCACACGCACACGCACACACACACACACACACACACACACACACACACACATGTACACATACACAAACTATTGCAAGCGCCTTAACTAGAGCTCAGTCAGTTTGTGTAATTTCATCCAATGGTTTACGTAAAAACTCACTTTTATATACGTATTTGAAGCCATTATGCAGTGGAACGCTGGCAACAAAACTCTGCCTGATCAACACTATAAATGATAAATGATCCGCACTTGTATAGCGCCTCTCAGAGTAAGGACTCCAAAGTGCTTTACACCACAGTGTATCATTCATCCATTCACACACTGATGGGGATGAGCTACGATGTAGCCACAGCTGCGTGAGGCATACTGACAGACGCGCCCCACTATTTAATTCAGTCATTTGTTATTCTCCCAATCAATTACTAACCAAAACCTCATGCTTTATGCAAAACAAATGATTTTCAGCATACCAATCTTTACAGAAAACATAAAAGCCCTAAAAAACTGCACATAAAATATATTTAAAAAACAAAATTCACTTATCACTTAGAGCAGTAGTTCCCAAACTTTTCAGCCTCACCAACAGATGTTCCTTCGTATTTTTGCGTTATTTAGAAATTTTAATTATATTTGGAAAGTTTTAATTTATATATAAATATATAAATCTCTTTCAAAATTGTATATTTTACTTTTTTTATGACTATGTGGCACACTTGACTTCCATATCTAACGCATCGGCATCTGCCTCTTTTTACGGCTTTTTTTTTTACATTGTCGCTATGTCTGTCACGTTAGCGGTGTTTTAACCATCATTTCTACATCCATCACGTCCCAGAGAAGGTTAAACAAACATCAAACCCAAGGTTTGGAGCTTGTAAACTCCACACACCTCTCATGCAGCACCAGCTGTCTGATGCTGCAGCAGCGTCAATCTTCCTGGCTGGATGAGTGAATTTCTTCATCAGTCAATATTCTGCTTCATAATCAGAGTCAGTCATGACCAGACAAAGTGATCAGTCAACAAAGACCAGACCTGCCGGCAATTATACGTTTTATCTAATATTTGCACTCTTCATGTTGCACACATCTCCTCCTCTCCCCGACTGGGAGCATCTCGGCGGGAAATGTTTTTCATACTCTAAAAACTCCCAACCTTTGCTCAGCCTGAAGGTTACACATCTCCACTATCCTCTGGTGTAAGGTAGTAACTTCATGAGGGATCATATTTGTAGATGAGACTTGTTAAAGTCAGCAATGAGGCTTTGGCGCTTTTAACGAGTAAGTCCCAACACTGACAACGATGTACTGAAACTAGAACCAACATGCATAAACAGACAGATCAGTCCCGCCTACTTACACGGTTGGTCTTTTTTAAATACGCAGTAATTGTTGTTCGCCTTTTTCGCTTCATCCTGCAAACTAGCAGCAACCACTTTGGCGCCTCTGGAGTCGGTGTTTGTTTACGTCATGCTTGATAGGTAATTTTTCATTTATCCCAAATTACCTTAAAGGACGACACACACAGAGAGAGTAGATTGATTATTCGTATTTTCCATGACTAGAGCTGAAACAACTAATCGATTTAATCGATTACAATCGATTATTAAAATAGTTAACAACTTTTTTAGTCATCGATTAGTTGTTTAATAATCACATTTTACCGCATAAAGTCTATTTTTACCACAATCTGACATCGGTTACAAGCTGTTAAATTTGCCGCCAGTGTGTGGCAGTAATGAGCCACTGATCTACCAGTGGAGCCGTAGAAGAAGAAACGAGCCAATAAGTGCCCTCGGTTTTCATGACGTAACACGTTACTGACGCGCATCTTGCTGTGAGAGATGGCAGAACAAGAAGAAATACGGAAGAAAAATAGAAGCGACAAAACTGAAGAGAAACCCCGGACAAAAACCTCACGAGTATGGGAGCACTTCACTCTAGATGCCATGAAAAGACGGGTGACCTGCAAAATATGCAAAAACCATCTAGCATGGCACGGAAGCACGACGTCCCTAAGTGAACATTTGAGACGAAAACATGTGGGGGCTGATGCAGCAGAGGAAGCGCCAGCCCGGTAAGTAACAGAAAATAAACAAGCTAAATATAGTGGTCCATCACTACACGCAGATCAAATTTGGGACTTAGTGTTTTAGCTGAGTTCGTTATAATGGATGTTAAACATGTTTTTTTGCCGCATCAGTCTACGGTGTTCTACTTCTGATTGATTAGATGCAATCGTGAATCTCCTCCGTGTTGTGTATCATGCGCTTGCCAAATTTAGCACGTCTGTTTATAAGAATGTTCTCGTTAAGAGAAAAACGGCACAAACCCATAACTATGTACTTCATTCAAAAAAGGACAACTCCGCGGAGAAAAATATACAGACGAGCTGTGTCCAGGTGAATATAACGCGGCATAGTTGTACACTTTCAATTTTTAAATACAGGAGAAATTCAGAAAGTAATTTTTTTACTATTAAAAGGCTGTTTTACTATCTAACGCTGTAAAACGCCTCACAACAAATTTTTGTCGAAATAAATGATCACTGTATATTGTTAATTAATTCAAATAATATAATATTGATTTAGTGTTGTAGTGTGTGTGCTGCTTTATTTTATATGTGTACTTATTTCAGTCTATTTGTGTTTCTTATGCAGAAAAAACATGCAACGATGGACAACTACATGGGGAACAAGACACTCACCCTCCAGCAATTCTACATTATTTTTTATGGAATTTAACTCTTATATTTTGATGCCAGAAAATTATTCTGGACTGATATTTTGCACTGTTTAGCTCATTTTACACCACTCACTGTGTTCATGTGCAATAAAATAGATTGCAGTCAACTGCACAATTCTCTTATGTTTTTCTTTTTCTTAACTGAAATGTATTCATCACTTGTATAGGTTAAATAGCTAAACAATAACAAACCGATTAATCGATTAATCGAAAAAATAATTGACAGATTAATCGATTATGAAAATAATCGTTAGTTGCAGCCCTATCCATGACCCTTGAACCTGAAATAAACACACACAAAGAGGATTTCATTGTACCCCGAGTCCCCAAACAGTGGAGAGACGACGCAGTGAAAACCCCCTCCGAAGCTGGCCCCACGTCTCTCCCCCAGTCCTCAGTTTCCCAGGGGTTTTACTGACCAACAGGACAGAGAAGGCGGGCCTTCTCAAGTTACAGACATCACGATACCACATTCCAGAGATACCAATGAGCTTTGGCTCAAAAAGGAACATATAAAAAAAAATACCCAATAATGCTGCATTCAATGTAATTGGAAAAAGGAGCTTCAATTGCTTAACCTCCGATTTTGTTTTCTTTCTGGCCTTAGTTGGGGGGGACGGATCAGGGTCGATCTGAATCTGGGGGGGACAGATCCCCCCGTCCCCCACCCTATCTGCACGCCTGCATGCACCCTCATGAGTTACCACCTGGAAAATATTACTCAAGGTATAATTTCATTTTTCAAGCCAGGAACATGTCTCATCTGTGTGCATTTAGGGGGCGGGATTTATACTGCAGTCAACCACTAAGGGGTAGTCCTTTTACCTTGGATTCTACTTCCACCTTATGGTGGCCTGGCAAGCCATCCTATGTGAATACATATGGTCTGGCCACATGACCCTTAGGCAGAGCTTAGTCGTGGGGCAACATCTATGGTTGTCTTTCAAACTCTGTCTGCATGCTATTGGACAAAGGTCAACGGGGCACTGTGGAAGAAGATGCAAATACATCCTTGTTCTAAGTAAAGGACCTAAGTACCTCTATCTGCTCTTAAGTCCAAGTCTATATAGTCTAAGTTGATGCCAAAGCAGTTTCAAATGACCGTATCCATCTTAGTTGTTCCGCTCCATTGCATCACTCTGCCCACCAAACCGATAAGAGTGCTATAATTGGCATAAGTTTGCTTTGGCTACTTTCTGTCAAGATTTCTAGGTTAACCTCATGGTTCTTTCTCACGGTAAATCCACCTGCTATAGAACAGGAAAAGGAAGAAGGTGTTTTTCTATAATAATTTCATGAACACCAAGGCCCTGTCCCAATACTCGCACTCCCACCCTTGCGCCCCTCAATTCCACGTTTTCGTCCAGGGGTGTGAGTGCGTAGGGTGTCCTTAGCAACGCCCCCTTTTAGCACCCTTGATCCACATTTAGTTGAAGTCTGCATCATTAACCATAATCCACTGCAGCGTGGGAATTTTGAGAAGAAGGCAGAACAAAAACTCAAGTGCTCTTCTTGAAAATGTGTATTTTCAAGTATGATTAATGAAATATTACATATTTCATTATTGTGTACATATATGATTACTATCACGTTTCACTGTTGAGAAGATGCATTACATGTCTGTCGAAAAATATTGTTAACTGGTTACGGTGCTGGTGTGTATTTTTGGACATGCAGTGCGAGTATTGGGACAGAGCCCCAGAGCCAGCACAATTCAAGATGGCTGCCACAGCCCACTTTTCTTGGTAAACCACAAAAGTGGCTTTAGGTCTGTCCGCTTTATTAACACTAAGCTAAAATATGGTGTGGTAGTTGAAAGACATACTCAGAAATTAATAGAGAATAAGGTTGATGGATGGATGGATGGATGTGATGTAAATCTCTAGTTAACTGGTTTTTGGTACTTCACAATCATTCAGTTTGTGTTTCTGCATGACTCACCTATATACAATGAAGAGTCCTTCTTATGGACATGGTCATCAATGTAAGACACTCCTAAAGGCTGGACGGGCGTGGCCCCAATACCGAGCAGAACCTGGGCTCCGATCAGCAGAAGGTACATCATGTTGGTGTTGGAGCGGTTGCTGCAGTTAAACCCAGAGTCTCGATTTTCTGACCTGGATTTGTTTGAGCAGATGTCCCTGCCGTCCTCAGCATGCCATGAGTCCCCTGCCTCGTACTCGTACTGATGAGTCAGAAACTCTGGCAGAGCTGAAAGCAGTGCCCCCAACGCCATGACAATCCCACCACAGCCAATCAGACGAGGCCGGTGGGCCTTGGCCCCAAAGTAGCTGACGAACAGGATGAGGGCCAAGTTGCCGATTTCAAAGCTGCTAGCAATGACACCCACATCGGCACTCTGGAGGTTGAAACGTCTTTCCAGAGTGGTCAGAACACTTACCTGGAAACAAAAGACAGGTGCATGAGACAAATAATGATGGTTACAGCTTCTGGCCAAAGACTTCATGTCACATATTTTACTTTATGAGGTGTTTTTATGGATATACAAGAAAAGCTTCATAAATATAATCTAATTACACAACAAACACAAACTCATTTGGCCAAAAGCTGCTTTAAATACATTTAAAAAGAAAAGATAGCCACTCCTGAGCTTCAAAATCCCCTAAATCCTATTAACCCTCCCACTGTCTTTATGGGTGACCCCGTGAGGAAAGTTGACCACCAGGGGTGACCCTCACCCCTGCCACGTGGACCCAAGGGATAAACCATCAATCCTGCTCAGTGGTCAACTTTCCTCGCGGGGTCACACCTATTAGGACAGTGGAAGGGTTAAAGCAATAGAAAATTATCTTGTAAAAAAGTGATATACACTCATGGTCATTTCATTACCTACACATTTTTGATAGCTTGCTGACATTGATTATAAAGAGTAGAGTAAGCGTGGCTCACAGCATCGCAGTATGGCAGTCCCCCTTGTTTTTAGGGTCTGGGGGCCACAAAGAGAGTACCACTGGTCTAGAGCTGCAGGTTGGTCTAGCCACACCTCAGCCTTGGAGCCTCAGCGGGCAGGAACAGCCTTGTGTTATACCAATCACAGCGCTCCATTGGTTGGGTGAAAGACAACACCCATAGCTGAGATATGTTATTGGGCTGTGGCCAGACTTCTCTTCCTACTGCCACCCATCCTGCTGTACTGGGGGCAGCAGTAGCAGCAGTAGCTCAACAGGTTGAGCGGGTTGTCCAGTAATCGGAAGGTTGCAGGTTCGATCGCGGCTCCGGACAGAGAATTCTGCTGTTGTGTCCTTGGACAAGACACAACCCACCTTGCCTGCTGGTGGTGGTCAGAGGGACCGGTGGCGCCTGTGCTCGGCAGCCTCGCCTCTCATCCCCACCAGTGTATGAATGTGTGTGTGAATGGATGAATGATACACTGTAGTGTAAAGCGCTTTGGAGTCCTTACTCTGAGAGGCGCTATACAAGTGCGGGTCATTTATCATTACTTGATAATAATGGTGTCTCTTGGTGTCCGTTCAGGACAAACATAACTAATTAGAAGTTTGAAATAAAGTAAATCAGATTTTAATGCAATTCAAGAGAGCCTAACAGATGGAGCAGGCCTAAGTCTGGACCTGATGTGAGCTTTTGAATAAAGGGAATTGAATAGAAAAATTAAAGACTCCCACTGTGGGAAAACCAAAGTCCACCTGAGAACTCTGGTTGTCAAATGTTGACACACTACCTGCATGTCAGCATCTCTCTGATTCAGACACTTCAGGTTCAATTATTTTAAATTTTTCTTTTACTCTGAGGTATTACACATCATGCCCATACCACTCTGATGGAAAAATGAATCTTTTATTTCATAACGACTTAGGTCATAATTATCATTCTGTTGCTGCATTTGTCAGTAATTACATCTCTCTGATCTAAATATATTGCTATTGTGTGCTGCACAAACAGGAAATCTGGTTAACTAGAAAACACACTATTGTCTCCTCGTGTGGAGATCACGTCATCTTCTGGGCCTACCAGTGTCAAAGGCCCCCTGCATGATTTTTGAGATATTTGAGTGCGGAGCATACTGGCAGGTTGGAGAACCCTTTCGTTTCAGCTGCCCAGCCACATAAACGGAAAAAAATCCGACCATCGCGGTGACGCGGTTCATGCAGCCCGCAGGACCTGATGGATGACACGCAGCAGCTCATCCATCAGTGAGTGCACAGTGTCCCCGGTTTACTGGAGGACGTGACTCTATCTGATCGGAATAATATGGCATCAGCTGTGCGCCTGAGCCGTCAGAGCAACATCCAACTCACCAGATATGCGCCCACAGTGCCCTGTGCCAACATGAGCGCGCACTCCGCCAGCAGGAAAAGCTTAATGTTGGAAAAACAAGAGATCTTTTTCTCGTTATCATCCTGCTCCGGGTCGTCCGAGCTGTTCCTCTCCGAGCAGATCTGGGTTTTAACCTGCATCCTTCTGCTCAGGCTCCGGTCGGCTTGGGCGGCATCAAACGGAGCAGGTCTGGTCTGGCGGAGAACATCTGGTACCGAGTAACGGGTGGTCCCACTGCAGAAGAAGATCGGAATCACGGCAGAAATGTTGAGTCACAGCGCCGCTGTCTAGTCAGATTTACGCGCAGTCCGTCAGACAGTCTGCCCGTGGCCTGTGAAAGTCACACTCATTAGGTTTAAATACGTAGGCGAAGCGTGTCGGGATGACGGAGTCTGCAGCGTAGCGGTGCGCCGTTCCCTCACATCCGGGATGCTGCATCTCGGAACCGATTTGGGTTTGTGTGCCAGGTTCATGATGCAGCTCAGTTCTGTTAGTGTTGCAGCCCCCTCCCCCACACGATCCATAAAGCCGAGGTACCATACTGAAAATCTCTGCTTCACTAAGAAGGAAAAATGCTAAAACCTGACAGTGATGACTTCATATATATCGTAATGATGTTTGAATAACCCCCCTGTGTTCCTATAAGAGTTACCAGTTGTTATGGATTGTTGTAAACAATCTGTGATAAAGTGAGTACTGCCCCTTTAAGGGAGGAGCTGCTCGAGTGTGAGTGTGTGTGTGTGTGTGTGGGGGGGGGGGGGGGGGGGGGGGGGGGTTGCACCGTCAAGGGTAAAGGAGCATGTTGGTGAGTGAGCTCTCGTTAATGTAGGCGTGGGGACGGCCCAAAAGTTCCTGTGGTTCTACAAAGCTGGGTGAAGTAATAAAGTTGTGAAAGGGAGAACACCTGCCTCCTGAGCTTCAGTGAGTGTTACACTGGTGTCAGAAGCGAACTATGGACCGAATTGGCACAGGAAGTTGCTAGCTGACTCTGCACTAACACAGCGGCTATGTGGTCGGACAAGATAAAGAAAGAGGAGGGGTCGATGGATGCTCAGCTCCAACCAGCGATTCGAGCAGTAAAGGTTGGTTTATGCTTGACGCGTCCGCGAGGTCCGCGCGGCGAAATTGCGTCATTTTAACAACCATGCCCCTCCACCGCGCCTCCGCACTGCCCAAAATTTCCACAACGTGCACCTAGGAAAATTTCTAACCACGCAGATGGAGACATTTGTATGATTCATCTCTCAGAGATCACCGGTCCGTGATCAACATGTTAATAATTCTTGGAGAGAAATAGCTCGGAAAAGACGAGGATGCTGTTGAAAATGCTGGAATGCCATGTTGTAAACAGTAATTTTTACTTCTACTATGGTGTAGTGTTGGATGCATGCTGTAGAGCTCCATGCTGCCCCGTTCAGTTTGGGAGAATATTGGCTCACCGCAGAGACAAGCCGCATGAACCATAAACGCTGCGAGTTGTGAAGTGCATTCCATCTGCGAGCCGCATCACCAAGCGGAAGGTGAATGCGTCAAGCATAAAACAAGCTTAAGGGAGACAGCACTGCGCCTCGCAGCTGAAGCTGGTTTTTCACCCAGTTCTGCTAGACTCGGGAGCTCTGAGCGCTGTGACCACAGTTTTTGCGGGATTGGGGCTTCCCCTTGTGATTCGCCGCCTCAGGACATAAACGTAGATGGCGGCGCCCAGAGCCGACACGTTGCAGCAGGCATTAAAACACCGAAGGTTACCGGGAAAACATCGTGGGAGGTGTTTATAGCTCAGTTTGGACTGTTAGCTGCAGCCGCTGGCTGGACCAGAGAGCATAAAGCACTACAACTGGCTCTGTGTTTATGTGAGGATGCAGCTGCTTGTTTGCTGTTACTAAGCGAGGAGGAGAGAGGGGACTATGACGCTCTGGTGGGGGCGCTGCAGAGATGGTTTGGTCAGCATGAACAGCCTGTGCGATCCAACACATTCTCACACCCAAGGCGTCAAAATATGACGATTCGGGACGCCCCAGAGCGTCAGGAGACGACGATCAGGGACACGCTGGGTCACGTGGCTCCGCTGGCGTCACTGACGCGCGCGGTCACACGGACATTATTTGACTAACCTTCCCCTCACCCCAATCCTAACCTTAAGGTCCATAAACTGTGACCTTAAGGTTAGGATTGGGGTGAGGGGAAGGTTAAGTTGTTCACAAATAGTTCTAATGTCCATCTCACCACCAGCGTCGGATTCTGACACTCTGGGACGCTGCGTCAGCAGTTTGTCCCTGATCGTCGTCTCCTGACGCGCTGGGGCGTCCCGAATCATCATATATTGACACTTGGTCACACGCGTCATATTTTGACACCTTGGGTGTGAGAATGTGTTGCCATAGCAGATGCAGGCTGCCAGGGGAACCACTGTGTATTCTGGCCCATGACATCGAGTGCCGCTGCAGACGGGCATATGTCAACAAACCGCTTGCAGTCCAGACAGAACTCGCCCGGGACCAGTTCCTGCAGGCCCTCAGCCCTGCAGACCTCCGTGTTCAGACTCAGCTTGCACGCCCAGCCACATTCAGCGCTGCCTTGGAGTCGGCGGTGGAGAGTGAGATGTTGATGGGAGCCACCGGGGTAGCCAAGGACATGCCAGTGGTGAGGACCTACCTGAGACAGCACAGTTGACTGTCTCTCAGCCACCCACCGCTCGTGGTGGCTCCCGACGCAAACCACAGAACTGCTGGGGATGCGGGCAGGTTGGTCACCTCATCAGGCAGTGCCCCAGGCTCACAGGACTACCGGGAAACGGTCAGGGGCCAGTGTAGAGGAGGGTACACGGGCCGGTGAAATCATCGCACACACTGCCGGCGATCTGCTGTCACCTTCACCAAGAACGGTCATTGATGTTGGGTGGACCAGGGTGGGGGACTTCTGTCATATACCCGTTATGATATAAGGGGTGCCCTGTACAGCACTGCTGGACACCGGATCCAGTGCAACGCTGGTCCGGCCTGATGTTGTTCCCCCTGGAGCTGCAGTGCAAAGAACAGAGGTGCAACTGAGGACTGTCACAGGGGCCCTGGCCCCCATGAGAGGTAGAGGAATGTTCCACTTTAAGGTGGGGGGCCTCAAAGTGCCCTATACTGCTTGGGTGGCTGATGTGCAGGACTCCTGCATCCTCGGACTGGACTTTTTACGAACCATCGGGGGTGTGCTGGACCTGGTTAAAGGCAGACTTTTGCTCCCTGAGGGGGAGGGTGTCCAGCTAATTCCTCCATCGTCGCACCCACCCCCTCCTATATATATATATATACAGTATGTATGTACATATATATATATATATATATATATATATATATATATATATATATATATATATATATATATATATATATTCTCTGTAAACCCAAGAGATGGTTGTGGGTGGCTATCCCAGAAGATCAACAGTTTCTGAAATACACAGAAAAGCCTGTCTGGCACCAACAACCATGCCACTTTCAAAGTAATTTAAATCTCCTTTTTTTCTCCAATCTGAAGCTCGGTTTGAACTGCAGTGGATCGTCCTGACCATGTCAACAATCCAAAATGCATTGCGTTGCCACCATGTGATTGGCTGATTAGTCATTTGCATTAGCCAGCAGTTGGACAGGTGTACCCAATAAAGTGGCCGGTGAGTGGATATCCATGTGAAAAATATCTGGATAATTTTCCATATTGCCCAGACCTATTTATAATTCAAATCTAGTCTTGGTAACTTCACAACTGCAGCACAGGCTACATTGTGAAGCCCCCCTACAATCTTGTGGAGACCCCTTGGTGGGTCGTAGACTCCACATTGGGAACCACTGGTTTAGAGAACGATACAAATAATTTTTTTCACTAATGTTGCTGCTTCAGTGTTTGTACATGTTTTTTCTGATTCTCCATGGTTGTTGAAGCAGAACTCCCAAGTAGTTCATGAGTCTTCTATTGATAGTTAAGTGTCCGTGAGGATTTTTAGGTACTACTTTGGCTAAACAGTGAGCAAGTCCACTTCCTTGGCTGATGAGCTACATGACAGCTAATAACAACACTTTAAAATGAGCTGATACCCATTATGGTGAAAGATAAAAAAGAGAAGAAAGTGTTGCAGTGATCTCCGTGTGATAGGTAATTTTAGATTTATCCCATATTACCTTAAAGGACGACACAGAGAGAGAGAGTAGATTGATTATCCATGAATCGTCATGCGAGAGCTGGGCGCAGAAGCCCCTCCATGGAGCTAACCAGCCCCCCTCTGTTCCTGGGGAAATCCTTCAGCTCACCAGCTCTGCATGCCCGCATTCTCCACCAAAATGTTAGTTTATTAAATGTGGGGTAATATTTAATCTCCATAACCCTGGAACCTGAAATTAACACTCATGACAAGATGGAAGACATTTTACCCTAAGTCCCCAAAATAAAGGAGAGTTAACGCAGGGAAAAACCTCCTCCGAGGCTTTCCCCCCATCACTCCCAAGTCTCCTCAGTTTCCCAGGGGCTTTATTCAGCAAAGGATGGGGGAGAAGGCGGGGCCTTCTCAGGTTACAGAGGTACAGTTTTCAGTTGGAAACCCACAATCAACATCCTTGCTCAACCTTTCATGAACAGCCACAGTTGGCAAACACAGAGATTCATGAAGTGTTAACACAAAATGGGCATCTTTTAGGCCTCAAAAAGGTACAATTATAAAAATACCCAACACCGTGTCCATCTCCACCCTCCAGTATGTGTCAAGCGCATTAAATAAAATCCATACTGAGACAGCCATAAAACAGTTTTAATCTAACTGGAAAATAGATGAGATCTAAGCATCAAGGTCCCTTTACCTGTTGCGTTGGGCTCCCAGCAGTCTGTGAACAATTAAGACTCAGGAACAATCCGACAGCAACTGAAGCAGAATAATCTATCAGAAGAAGTGTGAACTCAGCAGGTACAGCATCCATTTCTCACATAGTCCTTCAGAGTTGCACCTCTGATTTAGGGTCAGCCATAGTGCCTGCGGATGCAGTGAGAGCTCACTAAAGACATTATTTTAAGATACCTCTCTATCACAAGTCTGAGAAAGGAGTGCACAAACATCAAGCAGGAGCATAAACAGTGAAGAGTTTTATTCTCCATCAAAACCTTTGATGTCCAAATATTTTGGTTTAAAACTCCAATTTATACGGTATGATACTGTGTGAAGGCCAGTGATCAGGTGGATTTTTGGGTAAAATAGTGACTCACTAGAAGTTTTTTAATGAACTTCTAGCTTCTCAAACTTGTTGGCTTCTGCCTAACAGAGAAGCAGCAGCTCAGGAGGCTGAGCTGGTTGTCCAGTAATCAGAAGGTTGTCGGATCGATCCCAGCCCTTGCAGGGAATTCCGCTGTTGTGTCCTTTGGCAAGACACTTTACCTAACTTGCCTATGTTGGT